AAGGGACTGGGGTATCTCTTGTGAGGATGAACTGAAGGGGTTGGGCCTGTTCAGACCGAGAAGGGACCTCATCAGTGTTTGTCAGGATCTGAAGGGAGGGTGTCAGAGGACAGACAGGAAGCAATAGGAGAAGAGGCAACGAGTAGAAACTGATGCCCAGAAAGTTCCACCTGGCCATGAGGAAGAACTTCTTTCCTGTGCAGGTGACCATGCCCTGGAAGAGGCTGCCCAGAGAGGGTGTGGAGTCTCCCTCCCTGGAGATATTCCAGAACCATTTGGATGCAATCCTGTGCCATCTTTAAAGATGTTTCATGAGCCCAGAGAGGGAATGGACTCACTAAAACTTCCCTGGTATATATATATATAAATATTACTGATATAAATAAATCCATACTAAGGACTGCAGTCCTTAGTCAACTTAAACAAGTTAACAGCTCTTTCTCCACACGAGATGCTTCCTTAAAATATTGGCACTGAAAACTGCTTGATTTCATATTTAACCCAACCCATTCATTCTTTCTGTTCTTCTGTAAGTCCAGTTCGGTGAAATTTCAGCAAGAGCTTTCTCCAGTGCATTTGCTCCAACCTGACTCCAACAGAAGCATCTGGAAGTGTCCCAAAATTCACCTGTTTCAAGATTTTTAAGAGAATACCTCTGATACGTTTAAGTGCTGAGAACATTCTGAGGGCATGAATATTCAGACTCAAACTCTGCCAGCATAAAGACTTTTTTTTTTTTTTAAATCCTTCCCATATTTTGGATTTTACATATATCTTCAATGCCAGAAGACATTAAAATACACTTCTTTTTAAAAAATTTTTTAAAAATTTATTTATAGAGGAATATGCAGCTACAAATTCCCCAGATTTGCTAAACTGTAAAAAAAAAGGTCCTCTGGCCCTTACCCTAGCAGGTTGCTCCTAGCCTAAACAACCACTAGTTTCTCTGGAAGACTTTTTAGATTAAGCTGTACAGGTCCAGAAAATCCACATGCAATAAAATGTTAAAAAAACCCCCACACTCCTGTTAAACAGGAGGTCTGTAAATTGGTTGGATGTGCCTAATATCTTTCAAAATTGTTTAAAGGCAGAGTTTGAATTAGCAACCAAGTTTTCATCGGATCCTCTGGGATGCTTAATGCTCAACACTCCTGGAAAAATCTACCTACTCAGATGCTGAAATACAGATTTCCCCCCCCCCCCCCCTATTTTTGGGGAAAACAAAGAAGAGCCCAACATTTGCTTATATCAGACCAGAAGCTGAAAAAAAAAGTGGAGAAATTTTTGTTTTCTTTTTTTTTGGTAAGATGAAGAAGATTCACTTTCATTCTCCTTTTCTACAGAGGTACATTTATTATTGAATAACCACCATCATGTGCTCAGTGTGATTAAAAAAAGAAATGTAGGCCTTGCACTCAGGTAGCTCACAAGAGAAAACAAAACCCCCAGGAGATGTCATGGGGGATAGTACTTGCTTCCAGAACCTCTTAAAGGCATAAAAGCATCTTCTCTCCTATTTCTGCTGTGCTCTGTAGTTAAGATGTTTCTCCAGCACAGGCAAAAGAAGAAGACTTCACTAAATTTCTAATATATGATCCTGGAGAAATACTGGTTTAATTATGTGTGTCTGTGTGTGTTTGAGTGTAGGACGTGTCACATCCCTTGTGGTTTCAGAAAAACTCGCATAATTGCTCACTTTCCAATGCTGGCATCGTCGAAGGGTTTTTGTAAGTTGGGTTTTTGCAAGTTAGATTTTTGCATTTTTTCCAAAAGCTGTGCTTGGAACAACATCACTATTTAATGTTAAATTTAAAAATAAAACCAGTTGCATACTACCACAGGCATCCAACTGTAGTAGCTGAATGCCCATTTCCAGATGCTTGTAGCTGGTGTTACAGAAAATTGAATTCAACTGCACCCTTGAAATTGCTTTTGAAATGCCTTTACAAACAGAGGAATAAGATTCAGCTAAGCTAATATTCTTCTCATGTTCCAAATACTCATATTTTGAAAATCTCAGCACAACAAAAATTATGTAAAGAATTCTTCTCTGACATATTAAAGGCACGACGCTTTAAATTTCATTACTGTGTGTCACAATTCTGTAAAGATCGGGTTCTTCTGCTGAATTGGGAACGTCTTCACTGGGAGGAATCTACTGTTTACCTGCTGAGTTTGGTGGTTTCAGTTTGTAGCCTGCTAAAAAAAAAGTAGGAAGTACTGCTTAAAAAATTGCAGTAAGCAAGAAAACCTCATGCCACAATCTCTGGAAAGGAGCCCTCTGAGCAAAGTGAGGAAGGCACAGACTTTCCAGCAAGGAGATGCCAAAAGATGCTGGTGGCACATGGCAACAGCCTGTGGAAAGAGGCTGTTCCCCCTCCTCCATCACCTGGGCTGCACCCCTCAGTTAAATATTTGTCTCCAGATCAAGAGAGGAAAGAGCTGGAGGATGTTTTGTGCTCAGGAGCCTGAGGGTCACAGAGCAGCTGCGGGGAAAAGGCACAGAAAATCACCACGTCAGAGCTTCTGCAGCTGCCCAGGTCAGAACTGCTTCTGGTGCAACGACTGGAACCTGCAGTGTGCCCACTCCACATCTCCATCCTCTCAGGTGGCATGTTCACAGCACTGTTTCACCTATCAGCTCATTGGAGTAGCCAAGTCACTGTCATAACGCTGCTGCCACTGATATTTTGGAAGAAAAGAAGAGGAATTTTGCTCCGTGTCTTTGCCCTTAGGTAAACAACACTGTGCATCTGTATCCTCTAACATTTGTTCTAGAAAGCACGTTTAGTGACTCAGAAAAAAAAAAAAAAACAACCCAAAACCCCCACCACACTAATGCACATTTGCAGAAGGAGTTCCTTTTATTACTCAAAATGTACATATGCTGCTTGCTAACAATTTTCTGTTAATACATTAACTAGGAATGGACTGTGACTTTCATGGTATTTTCTCCCCTGTGTGTTAAGGGAACGACCTATTTAAGTTCTGTTGTCAGCAATTTATATGTCTCGTGACTTCACATTCCACGAAGAAATACCGTGTTTTGTGTTATTTACATTAAAAAGATGTACTTTGTAAAACTTCACCTTCGTTAAAAATCACTTTATCCTAAGTATTTAAATTATTTTGTGCTTTCAAATGGCACAATTAAGTACCTAATGAGAACTTCCATTCAGTGTTACATACAATACAAAAAGAGAAAAACTGTTTGAGACATCAATGATAATATTTTAAATATGTTTGCATAGGAAAGTAGATGTCTTTTTTCTTCATTAAACTGACAGTTCAGTTCTGAAACTTTATTTTGAAAAGACTTAAAAAGGATTTGTGTCTTTAGAAATAAAAAATATAACAGGCATATCTAAAAAACACAGAAGAGAAAACCTGATTGTTACTACTAATGAAATAGCTGATGACAAAATAGTAGTCTTTTTGATTTTGATCACAAAAAATAAACTGGTAGTGACAGGATATGATGGATAGATTTGACATCCTGGCAAATCACTGTCATTGATTCAATTATTCTAATTCAGAATAAAAGCTGTATACAGTATGTGTTTATGCTACAGTGGAGTTTTTTAAGTGATTGACATTCATCATATTAGTTAGACAGTTTTAAAAGCTATGTCTTTGTTTTACACAGCCTTGTTGAGGAAAAAAAAAAATAAAGTAGAACCTGGATTGCAGGGGGGGAAAAAAAAAAAAAAAAAGCAAACCACTTCACCAACTCTTGGTTCCAAACCCATCAAAATATGTTACCATTATTGCATCCTATTAACACGTTCTTTGAAGACTCAATTTCACCCCAGCCATGTAATACACTATTATAAAGACTAAATTTCGAAACTGTAATGCAATCTTACAGCTGGGTGGCTTGGAAGTTCTGCAGAGAAGAAGATATTACCTTTCAAAATGGAAGTCAGCCTCAGAAGAAAGAATGCAAACCGCTTGAATTTACACAGGTCAGCTTTGCTCTGCCGTTCCTTTGTGTGATGGGAGATGCCCAGAGATACACACACAAAACAGTTAGAAGTTCACAGATTGTATATCTGAGAGGGTGGAGAAGCCTGAATTACTTGTGTATTCTGCACTGCTTTAGACCAGCATGCTGTGATATCCTTCCTTCCCCGAGCTCAGATGCACTCTTCTGGTTTCCCAGCATTAATGTAGCTGTCGGGTTGAATTTCAATCTTGAATTATGTCTGTTGACATAATTTCATAGTGCTGACTTCAATTGCTTAGGCTTACTGTTTTGAACTACACAAGGAAATCAATTCTTTCCTCTCTGGTTAGTAAATTCAATTCAGGTGCATTTTAATGCATGTATTAAACCACAAGAAAAAGTAATTACACCTGTAATATATTCTGATTTGAAAAACAACTATTCTTAATTACTGGCACATTAGAATAAAAACTCACTTATGTACTTTAAATTTATTATTACATATTCAATAAACTAATGTAAAGATTTCATGAAATTTAAGAATGGTATCTCAAATTACAAAAATGAATGTTTTTAAAACTATGTAGTTTGCTTTCCGAATAACACGTGACAATGAATTGCTCAGTTTCATTCCTTTATTTCAATAAACCATCCAGCTCATTATTCATACAAAATATTAAATGCAACTAGATATAAAAAAATCTATTGGGAAAAACATCCCTTTATTTTTTAGTGTAAAAAAAAAATACAGAAATGAAAATGGTAACAGCAATTTTCGTATTTTAAGGAAAGGAACAAAATACTGAATGTTTCCAGTGGAGCAGGACAATGGCAGGACCCAACATAACAGAAGCTTCACCGAAAAGCAAAATCCAAACAAGGCCAAAATTAGTACAAAGAAACCAGAACACAAAAAGATTAAAAAAAAAAAAAAAAAAAAAAAAAAAAAAAAAAAAAAAAAAAAAAAAAAAAAAAAAAAAAAAAAAAAAAAAAAAAAAAAAAAAAAAAAAAAAAAAAAAAAAAAAAAAAAAAAAAAAAAAGAAAAAAAAGAAGAAAAAAAAAAAAGAAGGCATCATACGACAACATGTATTTTTAAAGACTGCTGGGTCAAATCATTAAGAAAAATATTTATATAAGTCATTAACACTCATAATTAGAGTGTCATATAAATCTGAGTGGAACTGCTAAGCAGAAATCACTAGAAGTCCAGGTGCTTCTTGCCGATGGCCATGGCACCACATCCTGAGCTCAGCAGTTTGGCGGATCCTGCCAGATCCTGTTTGCTCGCGCGGCTCACTCTGTCTGACAAGTCTGGAGGCAAATGCAGCCGCTGTGGCAGGAGATTTTCAGGAGGGAGAGAGAGAGACAGGGAGAGAGAGAGAGGTTGGAAAAAAACAGGGAGAAAATAAATAAATAAATAAAACGCAGTAGAATTCATTTTTCATAGCTTTATCTCAAAATGCAGTCTTTTCCCCGACTGATCGGTGTTTACTTGCACAGATAAAACACTTCCCAGACATTCTTTTAGGCTGACCTGGAAACAGTTTTGTCTGGTTTCAGTACGTTGGGTTCTGTGAATTGGAAGAGATTTTTTTTTTTTTTTGTTCCTTACGGAAATTTTCTAAACAAAATAAATATTAGCTCGAGATTTTTAATTATATCTGTGGGCATTCTTCCTTTAAAAACAAGTGTTTCGCCTGTTTGTCAACCTCTACATCGAGTAATTTGATGACTATAGGTACAATACAAGCGTAGTTTTATTTCAAAACATGCACACTTTGTGGCAGAGCCTGAAAATAAATTATGTGATGGCCAAAAGATGGAGAGGGCTCACCCTGGCTGCAGCAGGTTACCTGGTTGTCCACAAGCACATGGCCCTTGCATAATAAACCTTATTTTTCAACTACGACAAAAATATTTCTACCCTCTCTCTGAGGACCTTTTACACCGGAGAGACGTAAAGGACACGAAATCACCATTTAGCTTTTGCAAAGGAAGGTGAAAATGAGTGTAAAGCTGAGGCTTTACTTAGTTAATTACTGGTTTGCTTTTGGAGAGGCACTGAAAGCCAGTCAGATGAGACAGCTGAGCATCTTCTGCACAGTGCAATAATTTATGAAACTGGTATCATGGAAGGAGCATATTTCTTGAAAGATTTAGTAGGCAAAGGCTAAACTGTGGGGTTCTATTAAAATGCACAGGCTCCTGAAGGGAACAGGAGAACAGTAATGGTTGTGTGGACTTATCCTTATCCTCAGCTTTTGCTACCTTTTTGCTTTTATCACAACACATAAACACAGCTGCCTTTCATTCAACACCTTTGAAACTTTTGTATGATAAGAATTCAATTCAAAAGCTTAACAAATCTCTGTATTTACAACGAGCTGAGCTGTTCAGTTCATTGCTGGCTTTGAGACTGTGCAATTGGGCATAGCTTGAGAGATGCTCTCAAGTGCTTCTCACCACTCCTGGTTGTGGGCAGCACTTGGGAGAAGAATGTGTGCTGGCTTGATGTCTTCTCCAAGGGAAGGAAGTGCATAAAGTGATGTGTGAGAAGCAGGGAAGCCCGTGTCTGGGGTGAGATGATATCTCAGTATTGCAACAGGAGGAATGTGTGCGTTTATTTACAGCATTTTGCGCAATTTACATATCAAAACCCACTCCCCAGATTCACCATCCAGTGAGTGTGCAGCTCTGACACTCCAGTGAGCTAAATCAGAGCTGTGGTACAGCATCCTCCACCCTCAGTCCTCTCCCTGAGCATGGCTGTGGATGTGAGTGAACTGCAGCCCACGGTGCCTCATCTCTGCATCGACACAACAAGAACCAGGGCACGAGCCTGCCTTGTTTGGCTGCTGAGAAGAGCCAATGTAGGGCTTGGATTGTGGGAGGGGGGTTGGAGCCACTGAAAACCAAGGAGGAGGAGAAGCTGGGAAGGACAGGGGAGCACCTGGCAGATCTTTCAATCACATTTTCTTTCCAAAAAAAAAAAAAAAAAGTGTACAGTGCTCTGCTTATCAGGGTACAGGGGAGGCAGAGAGACAAGTGAACTAATCCAACCTTCTCCCACTCCCTGCAAACATCTCTCTGCCCTCACCATGTTCCTCTAGGGAACATGCAGTAATGCCGTCCTCCTCCTGCAACTACTGACCCTTTTGCCAAGTCTGCCACGTGGATTCAGAGCAAGGTGATGAAGAGCAAGCAGAACGGAGACTCAGCAAACTCATCTCACACAGGGACTGACCAATATCACAGACGGGGAACAACTGTAAACCCTGCCACGCTGGCCTGGGCTTGAAAGTGTGGTCAAAAGAAAAGAAATCTTTTATGTTTACACAGTCATTTAGTCAATGTTGTGTTCACTTCACTATAAACAGAAAACAGAAGAATATTTATAAAGACTTATAGGCAGGAAAAGTAAAAAATTATAAAGATCCTCAGATTGGATCTTGGAACTGAATTAGGCTTTTAGAGATATATTTGCTATGATACAGTATTTCATTTTGCAGGCATATACTCTTCTTCCCCCATCTTATTCACTGAAGAGGATGCACACTGCTCATTTAGTGACTGGCTATTCAGTATTTTATTTTCTTGTCACTGTTTACTCTGAACTTTCCTGACATATTTATTGTACACTATTCAAACCTTGTTCTGAAGACAGAATGGCTTTTCAATAGCACATGTCAGTATATAGCACTTGAATGCTTCACAAATACCAACTGTGTTATTTTCCTAATATTCTTGTGAGAGAAGGCAGAAAAGTTACCTCCATTTCAGAGACAGGCAATTGAGGCACATAAAACACACGGCAAAAGGCATCTACTAATTTCAGAAACGCAATCTGAGGCATTTAGGACTTGCTTTTCCCAGAATGTTTAGCATTTCACAGCATTTCACACGATAAAATGCTAACTTCATTTGCAGCTCTGAGTGCTTAGTATTTCTTCAAGAACTCCAAGTCAGGGACTCAGAAAGCTGGAGACACAAAATAAGGGTATAAAAATAAAAATGGTGGGCTGAAGCAATGTGATCACTCAGAAGCTCAGTGGTATTGGCAGAGACACATCACACCTTCCACGATATCCTTCAATTGACTTAATTACGAGACCATCCCTCCTGCAATCCTTGCCCTCTCTACAGTCCCGATTTTCAAACATTATAACAAATTGCTGGTTCTCCAGGAAGCACATTGCACAGCACATACCACATTCATTCTCAGATCAGACATACTCTGAACAATAAACAACTCCAGAGTCCTTTGAAAACAACTGAATATTATCCTGCCATTAAGATCTGAATCATTGGACACACACATGCTACCTCTGAATAAAGCCTGAAAAGCTTTTTTCAAAATATCATTCCCTGCATTTTCTGTGCGCAGATTAAAAACAAATACAGGGCTGAAAATATTGATACTAATAAATATTTTAGCACCCTTAAAAATATTCTAAATTTTAAACGGCAAACAAATGGGAAACTCTTTGCATGGCATTATAGAGACATCCACAGGCTATAAAAACCAGGCCTTTATTTTAGGCACCAGTGGGGACATTGTGGTCCCTTGAACTAAGGCAGTGATAGCATCAATAGGCTGTGATCCTTTTTGAACACCAGCATCACAGAATGATCAGACATTTTCACAGATATCTGCTGACTGCAGAGAAACAATCCCATTTAAAGTCCCAGTTAATGGCAAAATGTTTTCTGCTGGACAGACTTCTCTGCTATTTCTGACCTCCATCCCTTTCGACCCCTCTTCCTCTTATCACTCTGATAAGAATCAGGCTGACTTTGCTCACTTCAGCAATCCCAATCCTTCTTGGCCAGGCCTCCCATCCCACAGCTGGTTTCCATGACAAAAATGTCTCTTCTCTGGTTATCTGCACCCCTCAGACTCTGTCCCAGTCTCAGCTTTCTCCTTCCAGGCTCTTCATTCTCGCTCCTGCCAGTCTTGGGTTTCTCCTGCCTGTTTCTGCCCCTGCTCCACCCACTGCTCCTGTTCCTAATGCCCAGCTCCAAACTCAGCACCAGCCCACCCTTCCTTGCCTCAACCCTCAACTCCTTGTCTTCCTTGTCAAGCTGGAAAGGAAGCCCCGAGTGTGCCTGGGCCAGAAACCCAACCCTGACATAAATGCCAGACATGAAATTGTACATTTTCATTTGTTCTTTTAAGTAATTTGAGGTTTTCACTAAAATATTCCAGTGTGTGGATAAACACAAAAACTTCCTGTAGCCGAGAGCAAGCCGGCAGGGCAACAGGGTTTTAAGGTAAAATGGCCATAATGTGGCAAAAGTAAACATGTAAGGTAAAGTTTGTCCAGTGTAAAAACTAGGGAATGCTGGAGTAAACTCCCTTTGTGCAAAGTTAATTGTGTACCTCCATTATTACAGCGTGTTTAATTGCATGATCACCACACTGTTTTCACCCACGGAGGCTGCCAGGAAGGTTTAAACCCAGGATCTTCAGAATCAGACTCCAAGTTTCATTCACTCAGTGAAGAAATAACTGGCCAGGGAAGAAGGCTGTTATGGAGCAAGGCACAGCCAGGGAAGGGGCACGATGTGAGTGCTGGTGCTCTGTTTGGGGCAGTCCGGAAAGGCTTTGCAGGGCAGGAACAATTACACTGAACCCAGCTAAGCACACAGCTTTAGGGCATGCATTTACCAAAGGAAAACAGTTTAGACAACAGAACTTATTACATACTTCTCCTCTGCTCCTCCCTCTGCCTGAAGAAAACTTCTAATTACTTTATTTGTTCTCAATGGGGGAAAAAAAAAAAAAAAAAGAAGGCAGAAGTGGAAGGTAAGACTGTGCAAAAGGAGAGCTCAGGAGGGACACGGGGCAATCAGTGAGTGCAGTCCCAGCACAGAGTTCCAAACTGACACTGGTCTGCCATGCAAGACTGGGATGCAAAGATCCATACCACGGCTGTCCTAGGAACTTCCAGTGGGCTGCTACCTTTGGTTGGGGTGTAATTTGTTTTTTTTTTTTTTTTAAATCCTAGTATACAAAAATACCAGCAAGTGCTTTTGTCAGTGTATCTTACTGTGTCAAGGGGACTGTTTCAGAGGTTTATTACAACCCCCCCAGATTTTCAAATGTCAAGCCTTTTTTTTTCTCTTCAGTGTTAAGAGGACTGACCAGCAGTTTTCCTAAAAGCCTGCTCTGATGTTGATTACACTTCAGTTACAAAATGCACAGAAACAGTACACAGGCTTTAAGTGACTACAAGAGGAACGGAAAATAAAGTAAAAATCATATGACTGAACTTAAGTAACCAGTGACAGGTTAAACAAGGAGTTAGCTACAAGAGGTAACATTAGATA